AAAAATTTTATCAGGTATACCAGGATTCAGTAGGTATGCCACAGATACTCAAATTATTAAAACTAACTTTTGAAAAAGGAAAAAAACCCCACAAATCTAGGAGATTATATAGAATTATAAAGTATGGGTATGATCAAATATCTTGGTCAATTTTACTGTTGCCTTGAAGGAAAAAAAGATGACCAGAGTAAGTACATTTATAAACAATACAGACATTAGCAAATTTAAGAAATCAATAGAGGTAAATAAACTCAGGTATTAGGTTATACGCCACTACCATAACAACAAACAGAATGCATTAACTTTGAGACAAGAAGGCAACTTGATCTATCCAATGGAAAGTAAAAAAGGACTAAAAAAAGAGCCAAAGTAAAATAAATTTACAAATAGAGAAAGATGGCAGCAATAAGTCCAAAAACAATACAACATACAACTTTCAAGAAATGTAAAGAAGCTGAATTTACTAATAAAGAAGCCAACATTCATATTAATGGAAGCTACAAAGATGGAAAAGGACATACCAGTTTTATTTAAAAAAAAAAAAGCTGGGATATGTATTATAGTATCAGACAAATAGAATGTAGGCCCAAAAAACCCAATAAAATACAAAGTAAGACATCACATACCTATCAGTAAAATGGAACAAGATATGTACATCACAAACATCATATACCTAATAATATGGCTTCAAAATCTATCAATCCACAAACTGATAGAAATATAGGGAGACTAATTGGAGATTTTTAATATACTTTTCCCAGACAAGCAATCAGTCAAGCAGCAGAAATAAAGAGAACCTGAATTAATACAATTAGTAAGCTTGAGCTATTAATCTTAGCATACAGATCTTCACACACAATATTTACACATTTATAAAAACAAGAGTATTAAGGACACAGATTAAAAAATAAAAATCAAAAGAACTAAGCATTCAATTTTAATTGGAAAGAGGAATCGAACAAACCTAAGTAAAGAGGAAATGATAAGGCAGAAATCAGTAAGTGAGAGCAACAACAAAGAATATGGAGAAAGAAAATCAAAAGCAAAATCAAGAAACATTAATAATATTCAAGACAACTAGTAAAACTTAAGATGTATAAAACTGAATACAAAAGAAAAAAATAATCAGATTTTTAAAAATATCATGAACTATGATCAATCTAAGATCTAAATAAAATGCATGCAGGTTTAGAATATAAAACTGCAAAGCTGACAACTTGAATAGACCAATAAGTATGTTTAAACAAAAAAAAAAGAACTATAGCCCAAAACTCCCCAGTACCTCTAGTTCCCAAACTCCAAAGAACCAAGTCAACT